TCTTGTCAGGTCAATTTGGGTAGCATTGCGTTGTTTTGAAAAATCAATTAATATGTTTATAGGAAGAATTTACTGATGCTAATTAACGATGTTGTGGAACGTCAAAAGCGTCCATCTCCGTTTGTCGCCTGTCATTCATATTTTGTTATTGTTTTTCGAAAGTTTCATTTATATTACTCGTGAAACTTTTCTTGAACGATGGATTCAAGAAACGCTGGTAGAGTGGGGGTATTAGTTACGAAATTGGCCACTAGATGTTATAAAGCATTGCCAATCTCTGAAGAATCAGACATGACTTCGTAACGTTCTCAATAATTTGCGTTCTACGTTTCTCAGGTGTTCGAGGTATCTCCTGTAATAGATCTTTACCTGCTTTGGTCATTTCTTTAGATTTTTGAAGAATATAACGGATAGAAGTTCTCGTCTTCAAAAGAAAATTGCTTCTATTTCGCGCCAGTGAAGATTTGTTTGGAATGTTGTCATTAGTGCACGCTGCGAGCTTTTGCCTTCATCTGTTTATTGTGCCAAAGAGGGGGAAGCAAGGTAATCGTTCAAGAAAAGGTGCGCGAGTAATACCTTTGATTTCACCGTACTTTGGATAATTCTTCAATCAGATCTTCGTCATGCATACAATGAACACAGAAATCGGTGGAGATGGCTCAAGGCATCGACAGATGTCACTGCATAGCGTCTGATCAGGAGGTCCAAGGATCAATCAATAAACAATGACAAAAACTATTTTGTTCGTTCTTGGTGTGAAATCTACGTCCGCTCCCCAGAAACGCTCAGCAACGATGAGTAAATTCTACTTACGTCCAACACCCTCACAATTGACTCACTCTTGCATTTCAGACGGAATAACTTGTGACTGAAATTAACCTCTGGGACGGATTAAATGGCTTTCAGGTAGGTTTGTATTGAAAAGCGTTTTGTCAACCAAATATAACAATATAAATTTACGTATTATTGGGTTTAAAACTACCGGGCCAAGAATATCGCCAGTAGCCGAAGTTCAGATGATGAGGGTGCGTTCACTAGCGGACGACAGGTGCATCACAGACCAGGTGACTATTATGGTGCGCGTTCACTTACGAGGTACGCTCTCGCGAGTTTGTGCCGAGAGCGATTCACGCCAAAGGACACAGTTCTGAGAGTGGGCAACAGGATTGCGTGGTACTCGCGAAAAGCGGTCGTCGTTTCATCTACTCGCTAGTGGACTCGCCTGTGCGAGGAGTCGCTAGGACTTGCCATCAGCTTTCGAAACGTCCTGGAAGTGGTTGCGAGCGTCTGCGATTTTTTGGTCTTTGTTGCCGCGACATGGCGGCTGCCAAGCAGAAAATTGCATAAGAAATGGAATGTACCATTGAAAAAGTAAACTAGCGTTGGTACAGAATAGAACACATACTCTTGTACGTATTTTCATCTATTCTTGTGGGAAACATAAAGAAATAATTTCGAGCAATATTCAAAGAAAATGTTGAAAATGTTACAAGGTACGTAAAGTACCCCAAAAATTTAAAAAATGCTTTTCAAAATCTCAGAGCTTTGAGTCCGGCCAGATCGATCACGGAATATTCATTTCGGGAAAAATCCTTCGAATAGTTTAGGTGCTAGTGTTATTTACAAACTGAAGGACACACAGATGGACGTACGTATTAAAAAATTAAACTCTTTTTCGGTATCAGCTATACGTGAACTTCCTTTGAAATCTCGAAAACGATCTTCCGCAACATTACTTACCTTTCTCGACCCAGCGTATATTACTCCTTTTTCACTTAGACATATCGTATAAAGAAAAAAAATAATTTACGGAACTACGTAAGGAAACATTACACTGAGGTCTCTGTTGTGTGATTATTTATATTTGGTATTGAAGTAACTACTAAGACTTCTAATATAAACTACTGTGTGTTATTGAAATTCTAAGGTTAGATTGAAAAAGGTGCGTTGCTTACGAATGTCTAATATGTTGGGTATTCTCCATTTCAAATTCTTTGACAATTGTCGAGCAAACACTCATCTGTGGTTGGCCATCAATCCAGCCGTATACTTTACTTCTTTAGCGTATTTATTCACGAAAGCCGCCGCAGCTCTCTTCTTAGCCTTCATCGTAACTCCCGCATCTCCATCGCAAGCCTACTGCTCTCCAGTGGTTGCATGTGAGAGGTACTCTAGCGAGGGCGCGACGAGTGCACTCTCAAGACAGACATTTCTGCGAATCGCTCGCAGGTGCACAGGGTATTGCGAGCTTCTCTCGAGACTAGCTCCAGGGCCCGGCAACTCTCTATCAAAACTGGGGACAAAGCTCGAGGTTGCTACTATAGGAAGTGCTAGTGTCGCCAGGTGCAGCTGCAGGTTAGGCTCGCCAACTTTCCCACATACAAATTGGCTAATTTGTGAGAAATACGAAAAGTGTCTTATAAATGTACTATTATTCATAATCTATACTTATAAGAAACCTCTGAATAATGCGCGAATATAGACGTTATCTTTTGTAACATTATGGGCCTGCTTGCGACCCGCGAACTCACACAGTAGCCGCGTACGTTTAAAGTATCGTTGGGAGCAGTTCGTGTTTTAGTTCATGTAAAGAAGGCGATGCAGCAGAGCGCGCCACCGTAATGGTCTCTATGGGAGTCTATGGGAGTTATAGGGCCCTGACTAGCTCGCGCCAGTTGCTCTCTATGGTGCTGCGGACAAGCACCATAAAGGTGATCTTTATATCGCAAGAGTTGTAAGGTTTCTAAATTCCTCACACATTAAAGTTCAAATGTAAAAATTTTCAGACTTTCAGAAAGATTTACGTGTGCCTTCAAGAAATGTTTTGTGTACCTTTTGAATTATTTTCTTTCTTTCTACAGAGATACGAAATCTATATAAGAAATCGTGTTTATGTGTTTTAAAACTACTTATTTGTCATCACTATTAATAGGTTCTACGAAAAGTAATATTTATAATATGTAGGTTGTACCGTTTTGAAACTCGGCGTAAAATTAATGGAGATATGCCAATTCCTTCCAGACATAATTTCGATAATATTTTTTAAATAAAAAATGATTGAAAATGGTCTTTTACAGCCAACATTCATAAAATATTGCATAATATAAATTAGGTGCACCGATTTTGAAGTACCGAAAAATTTCCGCCATCATCAACACAACGACTATCCTAATGGATATACACGTGACGGCGTGGTATGATTCAAAATGTCCCTCGCCATAACGTTAGGTCACTTTCGTCTACGTGGATGTATTTACAATTTCGTCCTCCGGATGCGAAATGAGTATTGTACGAGCGTTACCAGAAAAGCGATGACTCTTTACGATAATGAAAACAAGTACAAAGTTTAAACGTGAAGTGTAGATCCCGTTAGTTGCACTAACACTGTTAGAAGACAATCGTGCCAAGCAATTAAACAGAGAAAAGTCGGTGCGTGTTCACCAGCCGTGAAGGACGAATGTAATCCCGGAGTACGGCATTAATGGAATGCTTCTGAATACCTCTCCATAAGACATACGGTTGTCTTAAAGCATCATGACATACCTAGTAATGTTATGCGTGTTATTACTGCAGAGCTCAAAAGTTAAAAATCGAGGCGGAGCGTAGCGAAGTCGAGATTTTTAATTTGTATGACGCAGTAATAACATTAACGTGATATGCTCAGCATTTTATCGGCTACCATAAAATCTCACCATATATGCGCTTTATATTACTTCATTAATAAACAAATTAATTCTGTTGCTGCGGACGTTGGTACCATATTGTGAGATGTTGCTTTCGGTATATCTATTTAAACAATATTCGTACACCGTGGTTCGAGATACATGGATGCAAATAATTCTCCTGTGCCTAAAGGTACCTGTAGAAATGACGTTCTGTGAGGAAGTTGGCGCACTGACTTCTAATGGCAACACCTCTACATCGCCAGTAAATACGATTACCGGAGAAGTGTTTCATTTGGTGGAATGCCAGGAAAATTATGTTAATTTACTTAATGTATGTATATCTAATCGAATTATAAATAATATTACAACTAACAATAATTATCCCCAAAATTAATGAGGTACTTTTATTCTGAATTATTTGTATCTGATTTGTTTTGTATATCACCTTGGTTTTCTTCTTAACAAACATTTTATTTGCGATGAATCGATGGTTGTTTATCGAGGATGTTAAAACCCGTTTCTAAGGATGTTAAATTCTTAACTTACGGATAGGTACAAGTGCACTTAACAAACCTGTACGGTTGCACATTAACCGGAGTTAAAGACGCATGTGACCAGTTAACGTACGCTGCGTGAGCCGTGAAGTCGGCTTGTCGTTTCCCCGCTTAATTATTAATTAATCATTAATTAATAACACCGATATAACATGTTATGGTAACACAAGTTACCTTGTTGCAGTATCATGGACCTGGTAAACTGCAACTGTTCTTTTTTTTCCATGTAGCAGTATTTCGGACACGGGGTGAGCGGTTTGCCGAAAATGCCGCGAGCGGTCATCAAACAATTGCAAAGTTCTTATTGTAAACTGAACATTGTACTTCAACACACAAACACACAAACAAAACACAAAAACAAACAAACAAAACAAACAAACAAACAAACAAACAAACAAACAAAACAGAACAAACAAACAACAACACAAACAAACAAAACAAACAGTCAAACAAACAAACAAACGCAAACAAAAACAAACAAAACAAACAAACAAACAAACAAACAAAACAAAAAACAACAAAACAAACAACAAACAAACAAACAACAAACAAACAAACAAACAACAAACAACAAACAAAACAAACAAACAACAACAACAAACAAAAACAACAACAAACAAAACAAACAAAACAAAACAAACCAAAAACAAACAAACAAACAAACAAAACAAAAACAAACACAAACAAACAAACAAACAAAACAAAAACAAACAACACACCAAAACAAAAATTAAAAATAAATTAAAAAAACATATGCCGCGAGCGGAGCTCTTGGACTGACCTGAGCCGCGTGACCTTGAAGTTGCTGCCGCCGAACACTTGCACGTCCTTGCCCACGGCCTGGAAGCGCGGCGACGGCCGGATGACCAGCTCCGGGATGACGAGCGGCTCTATGGACGGCACGTTCAGCTCCGGGATACCCGACAGCAGCTTCGGCCGGATCTTCTCCATCGCCGTCAGCACGCACTGCTCCAGCTGCGGGTCCCCGCGCTTGCACACGTGCAGGTAGCTGGCTGCAGGCACAGACGGCAGTTCTCACACGTCGTGTCAGCTGAAGGGTTGTCCGGGCATATATTATGAGAAAAGAAATGAGTTATATCTATGGTACAGAATAGAAGTAATTGTATATAGTACTCGCTTGGCCCCTTTCCACCCCAACCCACTCTTCCTTCACCGTAGCCCATCGTGGCCCACCGTGGCCCATCGTGGCCCATCGTGGCCCATCCTTCCCTGGCCCTGAGTTTCACATGTGTACGCGTGAAATGGAGGCTTTCTCGCTATGCTGGGGTATACACGGTTCTAGGTAATACATTATATTTAATATTCATTTGTATAGTGTAATTAATTGGCTACCACCTGGCAAAAATGCCAATTGTGGCCAAAATAAATATATTATTATATTATCGTGGCCCATCGTGGCCCATCGTGGCCTACCGTGGCCCACCGTGGCCCACCGTGGCCCACCGTGGCCCACCGGGGCCCACCGTGGCCCACCGTCGCCCAACGTGGCCCACGAGTCACTTCGTGAAGCGTCATCGCAGCCCAACGAAATTATAAAGATGATTTAAAAACGCAAACTGAAATTAGAAACTCAGAGTAGCAATGTATTTAATGATTGATTTTGATCCATTGATTATTTCATTTTCGAAGGCATGTCAACTACAATGTTTACTTGCCCCGTAAGTGCAATGCATGTTTTTATAGTGAGATGTGGGGCCGGTGGTGATCTTCCGCTGGATGGTGAGATTCGCCGCCGACCCACCCTTGGCTTGCAGGACTCCCCTTCCCACCAGCCGGGACAAGCTCTATGCTCGCGATTGGTCTCTCGAGTTGTGAGCATGTGCATTTAAGTGTGTGTATGAAGGGGATGAGTATAGGACAAGGAAGAGAAAAGACAGGAATAGGACAACGAAGGGCGCGGGCCGTAGCCTGTTTGTTAGGGTATCGCTCCGGCATTCGTGTGGTATTTATCGGAGAATTGGAAGAAACAAAAAAAATCAGAACAGCCGACCGCCCGTCTCCTTCAGGCGGAATTTGACCTAGCTATCTAGCTAACATTCTGAATCCTCCCTCCATCCGATCTCGAGTCCCAGAACCTTTCTGTCAGAGTGACATCAGTTGATGCCCTGAGCCACTTCATCTAGTTTTACCAGTCGGGATTGGGGTTGCTAAAGATCGAAAAGGGTAAACAGCGTCCCGAGAAAATCGGTAACAATTATTTAAAAATTATAATCTTTCACATGAATAAACTTTTTAACTGATAAGGAAACTAATTGTTGCAGCTAATTTTACCATGATATACTTTTGCCATTATATTATTATTATTATTATTATTATTATTATTATTATTATTATTAGCATTATTATATTTGCATGTTGTATTACCTTGTTTATGTAAATATCAGCCAGCGGGTCTAACCCAATTGTACTTTAAATAGCTTTATCTTAAGCTTATGTCCCATCGTCATTCAACTATTTTAGACGCAATCTGTAAAGGCGTGTCGGTTTTCCAGGCTTCCTCCGTGACAAACGCCACCAAATGATACCTTCGTGTTCCGCTGACAGCAACACGAATTTTGGTCGATTATTATTGTCTTGCAATGTTATGTTTATTGTGAGTACACGCGCACACCTGTCAGAAAATGATTTTGCACCGCCTATATTTTGTGCGCATAATGTACAAAGTATCTGACTGAACCGAGATATTGAAGTGGGCGAATTTTGTGATCCTCTTAAAATATCCATTCAAATAGGCCTCCATTGTGTCTTGCACAGGGAGACGGGCAGGGTAATTTAAAGTGACGGTGGTTCCGGGAGGAGAGGCCGGGCGGAAATGGTACAGAGGGGCGGGGATACCATATCATCGAGGTGGGGGGGGGGCTAGATGCCCCGCAGGGAATGTTGCCTGCAGTTTTCCCACCATTGTTCCACGTCTTCTTTCACCTTCTGCGCTTCTGTCACGGGTGAGGGTTTAGGTTCATATGTAAGATTGTGTTGAATATTCTTTTTATTTACTTATGTCCTTCTTCGAAAGACCAGTTCGATAGCTTTTGGGTTTGCAAACTCGCAAGAAGTTTTGCCGACCGGAAGGTTCTAGATACTAATGAAATATGTGAGTCGATGCCGACCACAACTTGAATAAGGTTGCCAGAGACTTGTGACACTGATCAGTTGGTTATTTGGTTTACTTTGAATCTTAAAATTTATCAAAAGTGTTTACAATGAAAAAGTATTTTATTCACATATTCATTCACATTAATTAGAGAAATACTTGTTAACGTATTAAAACGGTTTAAAATGAGGTTACACAATGTTCCCACATGTGCCATTTCAAGGAAGTTGAACTGCGTACTTTGTTGTTAGTTTACCGTTTGTTTTCATTCTAATGATTGCAACAGCTATTAGCACAAAAAGGCCGTGAATCTGCGGTTGTAAACTTTGCATTTCATAACAGTAGAAGGCTTGACACATATGTCATCTTTTTACTGTCACCATAGCTGCGAATTTGCCAAAACGTGGATTGTAACTAATGGTAACTCCCGACTGGTTAGCACTCACTCTGCGGTTAGGACTCAAGGCCTTTGTGAAACAATATGTAACGAGAAAGTATGACGTAATGATGTACTTTAACTCCGGATTTTGTTGACTCGGATGATCTCAATAGTAGGGAAACTAGCACATTGACTTCCAAACCCGAGTTTGCAGGGTCAAACCTCCCTATGGAAAATCATTTAAAGTCAAATGGCATGAATGTAGCAGACAAAAGACGTACCCTCTATAAAAAATATTTTCTTGCTTGATTATTTTGCGTTTTCGACCTCGTCAAGTGTTATGGTCATTACTAAAATATGTATATTATACTATGTAAATGTATATTAAATACCAAGAAGTGAATTTTTTGCTCCCCACTAGAAAGAAACATCTCACGTGTGCTTGCGGAGTTTCCCGTTCCTGGTATTTCTGCTAGCGTGGCACCGCATTAGTCAGACGAGTCTCCGTGACCCAGTGCTTTGAGACTCGTCAAAAACAGCAGAAAGTATAAATAACGAATAGAATCTGTAACGATAACGTTTATTTTCATCCAGACAAAGGTAACCATGACAATTTCTTTAATACCTAATGATTCTTACACCAAGGTGTTGATCGTGTCGATTGTGTGTCGCCTTTTCATAATCTCTTCTTCTGACGAGGACACAGAAAAGCGATTGGGCAAGAACTCTTGGAGCAATTTCCTCAAATGCTCTCCCAATTAAGCAATATTTCGCAGAGTCAACAATTATCATCTAGACAATGGTTAAAATAATCGCGAGAGGTGTGTCAGAGTATCAACTGATGTTATAACAGTGGCTCTGACCGGGAAGTTCTAGGTTAGACTCCCGACGATGGCAGGATTTTCGACACTAGCTTGATAGCTAGGTCGAGACGAGCTGTTTTCTGGTGGTGAGTTCCAGAGGCCGGTTGCTCTGATCGGTAGTTTTTCATGGTTTCTCCGATCAACACCAGGCGAATGCTGGAGCAGTATCTCAACAAACAAGCCACGGACCGTGCGCAATATTTCCCTCCTCTTCCTTGTCCAATTCACACCCCTTACATACAAACACGTCTTACATACACTACACTACCCCACATACCGGGATACCGGTCGGGAACTTTAAGCTTGTCCCGGGTAGGTCTGCACTTGCTCCGCTGGTGGTAGATACCTGGATGAGGAAAGCCCCGGTAGCTGGCGGAAGGTCGCCGACGTATCTCACCATCCAGCGGTAGGAAGATCTCCGCCCCCTCCCGAGAGAAACCACGCACGACACTTACGGAACTAACGACCTTAGCAGTAGACGCGCCTGGAATGACTAATCAATCAAAAGTTGTTAAATTCCCTGGCTGTGTCGATGGTATCGCCAATCCATCTCCCTCGAGTCTAAAGTCTTAGGACCTCCCGGCCAGAATTGCTGTAGCGGGAGCAGTTGTTGGCCTGAGACATCCCAGCCGGAAAAAATATTCGACAACTTCCGATCTAATCCGGTCTAAATTAGCTCAATCAAAGGTCATATTGCAACTATAGCTGGAGGATGAGAATCTTCAAGATGAAATTAGTTGGTGACCCGTGAATCTCTAAGATGCGAATTAAGGTATTTCCGGCAATAAAGTGTTGAGACTTCAGGCAAGTATCGGGAGACAACGTTCAGCAATTTGCAAAACTTTCAGTATTGCAAGAGCATCAACCTGTCTTCCAGAAGTGGAAGAATATAAAAGACTGTCGCGATAGCAGGGTGGTCACCGTACACCGGTGTATTCTAGATTCGGATTCGGTGAACAAGGAAAGCATGCAGAGAACATGGACCCTACCACGGTCCTCACGCCGATCATGACATCAGAAGCAGTCACAGTGCCGTAAGATTGAAACGAATAACCAGAAAAAGGATGGTTAAAAAATAAATAATTTACTAGAAAATTAGTCATTAAACCATTCTGGACCCTGTATGAATATACGGAATCCAGATCTGGGGCACTGCTAAAGAACTAATTTGTCAGTTTTACAAGGATTTCAGTTGAAACTTTTATAAATCCCTTCATGTGCATCCTGATTCATATCAAATGCTACACTACATCAAGACCTCAATATACCAATAAAGAAATTAGTTCCAAATATCACCAACGCCTGGAAATGCATTTCCAGCATCTAGCTCTTTACTTACTTCATAATAGCCGTGTCATTTTTCGCCTCAATAGAATTTCCTCTCTTCACCGCCCCCACTGTCTGATCAATAACATTTATTCCTACAGTTTCTCTTATTTTTATTATTGTTTATATATTCTTAATTATGTTGTCTTCATAATTTTCAACAAGAAGTTTATGTTATTTTTGTTATAAATTTGTGAAGAATATCAAGGGAATTACTAATGGGTGACTTTCTTACTCGTTTATCACTTTTATTTTATTAACTAGCGAAATAAATACAAATTCTTATATATAGAGGAGGGAGGACAATTTTATATAAACCATGATATTAAGATT